ACTGACTGTATCGAAATTTTCTCGGCCCTCCTGATTTTTAGTTGGCGAGGTCCGAGGACCGACAGACTTTCGCATAGACTGAATAGATATTAAAGGAATATTAATAATTTAATTTAATTTTCAAAAACATCAATTTTTTCACCTTAAACGGTAAAATAATGATAGAAAAATAGAAATATCATGTTTTGTACTTTATTTGATGTAATTCCCCAGAGCTAAATCCGTAACATACCGGAAAACGGTGTTAAGCTAGGTTTTCGAAAAGGTCACTCTCTCTGAGATAGGAGTATTTTACCACATTCTATTTCTAATCTATGGGCACTTATTCTAAATTTTGTATAGCATGATCTAACATTACTGTCCCTTAATACACTAAGATATTGTTCACGTACAAAAACATTCTGAAATAAGGCACATGTACGTAATTATATTTAGCTCAAAAGGATTTCAAAATGGCGGCGTCCTGAGTTAACTAAGGGGGCAGGGGACATATTCGAATGATGGCCCCGGTCGAATTTTTTAATAACTCAGACATGGTGTTTTGAAGTTACTGGAAACTTCTGATATTTCTCTGTCATTGTAATTCTTTCTTGTTTGTGTGTAGGAAATGAGCAGTATTTTGGGTTTTTACCCGAAACTAAGCATTTTGTAAGCTTTGTATGCATTTGTGACTCTCCGAATGGAGGTGAAAAAGTTAAAAAATCAAGCTTTGACATTTGGGGCCAAACAAGTAAGAAATTTCGCATAAATTTTGTGCAAAATCTAAACGTATGACAGACTCTTTAATGGTCATTTTTGAAAATGCGATAGCTTGCACTGCATGTCAGTGATACTTTTATAGGAATTGGGAGGATTCTGGAGTGCACCTTCATGAAGATTGGCCATATTGGTATATTTTAGGTGTGATTTTGGCTGGGTGGGGGTAAACATAAATTGCTGTCAGTCATTTTTTAAGGAGCAATGCATGCAAACTATTATTTTCTTCAATGTATGTCATATATCATTGAATAATGCTGTGCAACTGGTTATCTGCCTGTGAAACAGATTTTGAAATATTTGGAATTGTGTTTCTGGCCACACTGAAATACAAAATTGTTCATTTTTAGGTCCCATGCCCCTTAAGGATTTTTTCATAGCTCATTAGGTAAAGGATATTTTTTTTTTGAAATTTTCATTTATTTTTAATTTGATTCATTTGAATTGATACGCGTCATAGATCTACATAAGGCCCCCACGATTACACGTTTAAACGGATTCGTTTCGATTTCCATTCATAAACGTTTACGATAATTTTTACCGTTTAATCGAAATGACCATAATATTGCCTACAAAACTTCTTAATCATTGCCTTTTATCATGGATTTTATCAATTATAGTGGTTTATTTCAAAGTAAAAACGGAAAAGGGTGTTTACAACCCTCCACACAGCATTACTGTGCAAAAATTGCTCCTGTCATAATACATTTTAGTAAAAAAAGGGGATACAATGCAGAAAATGCTTGCTGACTCAGTCGTGATGAGCCCTGAACATTCTTTATTTGTACAATGTATTAAAAATAGAAAGTAAGTCATCATTTGGCGACTTAAATACATGGTGTATATAGTACATAGAGGTACCACCGTTTAAACGGTATCGTTTCGGTTCTTAGCAATCGTGTAAACGTTTACAAATCAAAGCACTGAATGTACTGATGGGGAGGCTATGAGAGAATGTTTCAGACTTATAGTTTCTTTTCTTTTTGCTTAAAATATGCTACCAAAATAAAAAGATATGCACATTGCGCTATTTATCCTTACTGTTGTGTTCAACCATTCATATATATGGTTAATGTGGTTGACTATTCATTTTGTTAATATTCCAGAACATTTCATTGAGGTCTACATTCGGACTGTTAATCATGCAAATTTTGAAAAACCTAAACTGTCAATAATAAATGACATACCAGCAAGTATGACGACTGTTCATTATCAGATAACAATAACATTTTACAACTGACGGTTCCTTATCAAAATATTCTAGGACTGTTCATCATAAATACTTTATGTCATTTTAATATTATTGAATTATAATAACAACTGCAAGTGATGCAACATTTTTATTGAACATAAAAATTATACACGTTAAGATGTACCATAATTGAGATCAATAAGATACTGTCTTGTGATGAGTATTAATATTCATGCTCTACGGACAGAAGGTTGTCTTCTCCAGAAGCAAATCTCGAATAAAGTCACGTTTCAGAAAATTAATCCCATTTCATTACTGACGGCGTCGGATAATATTAAAGCTAAATATTTCTTGAAAAAATACATCTCTGCAAAGCTTATTCAAAACTGAATCAACCTAAGTGAAAATTGATCAGGAAGTTATATCTTCTTTTTTTACCGCCAACACTCAATATGGTAGTTAATCGATAGATTCTACGTGTATTTTTAAACCTCACTAGCTTGAAATATATACTGCGGAAAATCTGTTGTTAACAGGGTGTGCGGTTATTACGTAGGGTTTTCCCTGTCGACCATTTCCCGCAAATAGATGAGAACATCGAAGCCGTCAGTGCTATGAATGGTGTTATAAATGGCGTGTTTTGGAATTTTTTGTTGAAACTTCTCCAAATACCTCCAGAGGCGTGCACGTCGCGGAGAAGGCACACGGAAGGTCATAGTCAAGTCATCATAAGTACCAGAGGTGATTGGTTGACCTGTCGTGACTTACTCTGGAGGTTTGGCGCTAATAGATGCCGTTTTTGTTGTCGTCAGTCAGAAAGTTGATGCCTTGACGACATTGTCGTCTCCTTACCACCAAAGAACGAAGAATGGGCTTCCAGGAAGAATCTGCTTGAAAAAGACGTCCCAGATGCTATAATCTCGGACATATGGTTATTCCGGCGCCGAGTATAAATAAACTTAAAACACACACACTTTTGTTGAAAACAAAACAACAACACATTTTCTGTAGTAATTTTTCAAGTGTTGTAAAATGAATAAGAAATTCCTCTTATGCCGCCCATTATTTTTAGAACACAACCATAAAAGTTCTTTTTTTTTATTTTTCAAATAAACATTAATCACTTCAGCGCGCGCAAATATCGGTTTCAAATTAAAGTTTCGTAAGATATGTTAATGACTTCCCGATGCTCGACTGTAAGTAATTTGTATATGTATGCGGTTTTTTTTTGTTTTTGTTTTTTTTTTGTTTTTGTTTTTTAATTAAAGCTTCTTATTCTTTAATATTTTTTATGTATCTCATAATCTGTATTGAAAATTTGAATTTTATTACACATGGACTATCAAATTATGATGTATGCCCTAGAATTGAATAAACTTTCTAATTACACAATACGGGGTCATACTGATCTTTGCGTCTTTCTCTGAAATAATTATTTACTTGTTAAAACATATTTGACCACATATTTCTGTCAATTAACTGTTCACTTTACTTCCGATTTTGTTGTACGGAAACACATGTTTCTATTTGTGTTTTCTAATCAATTCGAATCTATAATCAGTTTAATGGGATCACCACCGGGTAAACGACTACTAGGTACTTTGGTCATGTTTTTTACCACAAATATTTGAATGTTTCTATTGGGATTAAAATGAGCATAGTTAACTAAACAACTGTTTGTATAAATTCCTGACCTGTCTAATTCTAATTATGAGATTAGTGAATATATAAGACTTTCACTACAAAATATTCCTAAACAAAAGAGCACATGTTTAAATTTATTCCTATACAAATAAAAGATCAGAGTAGGGATCTGTCAATTGCCAAAGATACTTTTATGTTAAAAGTTTGATTAATGAATTATGTAAGATGAAAATATAAGTATTGCTTTTTTTATTTTGCTAATGTAAAATGTAATATTGTGCTGGAATTTTGTCGGAGGTCCTTAGGGGTTTTGTAGTTAAATAGTTTTTTTTCGGCGATAATGGTTAGAGAATATAATGTTTTCAAACTATATGTTCATCACCATCAGTGAATTTTTAGTTAAATGTATGCAAAATATTTACTAAACAGCTATATGATTTAGCGGTTTATGAGCGTTTTCCGCGTACAGCCTCATGGGGTGTACAAATAAGTTAGTTTTCCTTAGTTATCACGCAAGCATGATCTATGTCTCTGATGTAAGCGACAGTTTACAATTATTTGTCTTTAAAAAATATTAAGGACTATTAATAGTTTATAACAACAAAAGAACATGCATGATATTGAGAATACGGTGTTGCAACGTTCTAGTTAATGACCCGTCATAAACAGTTGGTCGCTGCGTAGTAATTGGAAAATTGTTATCAAAAATAATAAAGAATATTTGCCACTGAATTAAAGCATTTACTTATAAATTTTCATTTATGCTTTTTGTTAAAAAAAATATTGATAAAGTTATTATTTTGAAGGGTTTCATACCAGAACTATTTATTACAGACGTACGTATGCCTAAACCTGATTACCGCGGCAGTATGACGTCACGGAGTAGTGATTTAAACAAAAATCAAGAATTTTTCAGAGAATTATTATCTTTACAAATTGCAGATATGAAATTAAAGAATGAAAATATTTTCATATTGTAAATGTCTGTGATGAGTGATGAGTCAGCTTAGAAAAAATCAAGGTACTATTTTTTGACCTGATTACCGCGGCAGTATGACGTCACTGAGTAGTGATTTAAACAAAAATCAAGAATTTTTCAGAGAATTATTATCTTTACAAATTGCAGATATGAAATTAAAGAATGAAAATATTTTCATATTGTAAATGTCTGTGATGAGTGATGAGTCAGCTTAGAAAAAATCAAGGTACTATTTTTGACCTGATTACCGCGGCAGTAAGATTTGACAGACGGTTATTAACATTGGGTCGGCATAGCCTCCCCAAAAATTGTAAACGTTGGAGCCTTAGTCATATGATACATGATATCTAAGAGCGCTTTCGGCCCGCTCGGACTTTCCGAGCTTAAAGCGCTTAAACCTTTAATCGAGGGTAAAAAACCAAGAATTACCTTAGGTGACTTGTTCAACATTGGAACAAACTCTTTGCAATTTCGTTTGATGTAATCAACAACTACTGGCAATAATGTGCTCTTCTCATCAGAATCTGCCATTTTTTAATGTCGCAACGTGCCGGAAGTTGCCGTTTACCTTTTTCAAACGCATGCGCCAAAAGGACTTTTAATACCAATCGGAGCACATTTGCTATTATCCGAGGGCCGAGAAGATGCAAAAGCTTTTTTTCACGAAACGATATTTAATTAAACGAACTTTGTATAAGCTTAACAAAAAATTGATTGTAAATTGACAACAATACAATTATACCCTAGAATAGAATAAAATGGAATAACTTTTATTTCCTATCAAGGGTCATGTTAAAGGGTGAGAGTGGTTTCGTCGAACCGAACTACAGGTTCGGCGAACTGATCTTATATAACAGGGTGTGGTTTCGGCGAACTTAATTTATATAGTGCAAAAATATCTATTGTATTATATGGGAACGTCAATTATCGCGAGTCGTAATGTGTGGTTTATCACATATTTTCATGTATTTAAAAACAAGATACTGGTTTGGGAGATAAACTCGGCCAATAATTAGTGTTTTAGGGGCAAATTTCATTTATTTGTTTACGTATTCTGATGAATCTTGCACCATAATAAACTTCAGCTCTTCGATTTTTCGGTATCACCATAAAAGTTATATTTAGAAACATAACGGGTAATTTTGAGAGGCCCTGGAAGAGGTACGTAAAAGGGATATTTTTAACGCGCGCGAGTAGATAATTCCGGCTCTTTGTTTTTCTTCTTAAATGAGTAAGTTAAAACGTAAAATAACATGTTTAGACATTTTATTATTTCATTGTTGTTCATTTATGTCAAATAAAAAATATTTGTTACCAAAATTGTTGAGCATTACATTAGTATAATGAACATCTATGATAACACGATATTTATATGCAACGGACTATGTAACATATTAATCATTTTTACGTAAAAACACATGCATTATCATTTATTAACGTATAACGAAATATGTAGTAAAGGAATTGGCGATTCAGATTTATTTTTGCTTAGCTTAACAGAGTGAAGAAAATATTAATTAAGTGGTATTCAACTTACACATTAACATATAAAAGGAGCATTTAACATCAGTCTTTCAATCCATTTCACTTAAAGATTACAATTCTGTAATCAGCCTTTTTTCTGAGTTAGAAAGAATTTCATCTACAAAATGTATACGTAAACGTCATCACCTTTACCGGAAGTCGGTCAAAATATAAAAGTACCCCTGTGCGAGCCTCAAAATGAGCACTTGCTGCACATGCGCACAACAATGGGATTCCCGTACTTTTTATAGGCATGTTTTGTAAACAAACAGGCAAAAGTGTGTGTTATTTTTTAAATACCTTACCAAACTTGACGAAATTTCCAGATATTGTCGAATTCCAGCGATAGTATGAGATGGTGAGCTTGATTAGATTAAAAATTCTGATGATTCGATTTAATTATAAAAAGCCGAGTTTATCAACCAGCCGAAGTTATCTCCCCAACCAGTATTGAAATTTAAACCTATTATTTATAATTTTCTTCAGTATAATAGTAATTAATAATATTTACATTTATCACACACCCGTGCCGATTAAAATACGACTGCGTAAATATGGTATTGCACGGCCGTGCATATATTTTGACGTGACGTCATTTGCGTTATACAAACATATGTAAAGACGCGCTAAATGTTAGCGTTATACTATAGGCGCGTCAATGAAAAAATGACTCTTAATTCACTTTAAACGGTCTTTATTTTGGGTATGTGATAAATAGAATATTAAATTTGTGTAAGTTCATAACTGAATTTATTGCACTCGTTGAATAAAATAATATTATGCTCGCCAGAGGCTCGCATAATATAATTTTATTCAACTCGTGCAATAAATTCAGTATTGAACTAACACTCATTCAATATCCTCTATATAGAATTCTATCACTCCACGTGATTTTGTCTCTATAGACAAAGAAGGAGGAAAAACGGTGTTAAACTGCCAATAAACACTGGTAAGGGACTTTTTTTTTTTTTAATTGCGTTTATTTAAGGTCGCCGCCGGAAAGCCCATATGGGCGACCGTACATTCAAGTCGGGCCACCCTAGAGCGACCCGCCGAGGATGGCTTCCTCACATGAAAAATTAAACCCAAGTGAGGATCGAACCTACAGTGGTGAAGGACCTGTGATCTCAAGTTAGCGACTTTAACCACTCGGCCACGGATGCCCCTGGTAAGGGACTACTTGTATATGCGGCTTTTATGTTTTCATCCTCGATTATATAGTTTACAAAGCCTTAGTTCTGGCTCCCATAACTTTATATGTCGCTTTTATTTCACGCTGCGACAGTAAACAGGTCTAGCAGTACTATAAAACCTGTTCGCTGAGGTATCTTTAGCTAACAAAGCCTTTTAGAGCAACAATAAAAAGCACTTTTATTTTTTTTTTTTTTCAGTTCTTATAATGTTTTCTTTTTATACAATACCGAAATAATATCTCACATACACTAACGCCACATATTTGATCCATATCAGTTAATAAATATTTTAACAAAACGTCGCCAATCCGTATGCAGCGTAATGACGTCATCGTAAGTAAACAACTCATAGAACTTTATCTTAAACATGTTTTAGCCCATTATGCCTCAGAAATGCTTTTATTTTTATTTCTCAAAAGCTTTACAATTGTGTTTTTCTTTCACTTTCAGTATCCAAAAAGTTACTCATTGGCCAGAACATCTGTGCACATTGCATTTTGGCAATAAGTACAATTATGTAGTAAATTAGTATTTTGTATGGAAGTGAAAATACTACTTTGTTTACATTTTTCTACTTTTATGACAAATTATTTTACATTTATCGCTTCTTTCTTTCACGTATCAAGCATCTAATAATTTCTAAAACCAATTATTTAATCACTACAAAAAAACATGTTTGTCTTTAATTAGAAAGAAGTGAAAATTTATTTGTTTCTGAGTCTCTCAGTGCCACTGAACAATACAGTTTCCACTAGGATTTCGAAAATTTGGGGCATACATTTTATGTCCCAGAATTGATATTTTTTAGATTTTTTTTTCATTGAATTGATTCATTCTTTTTTCAACTTTACATTTTAATCCTGTATTTTTATTTAATCTCGTTAATCGAATACATACAGTTAGCTCTATAGCATATCTAGACCAAAATACAATGGAACACACTTTTTAAAGCAACACTTAATTACTATTTCAATATACATGTATTCATGTTATATGTTATAAGAATGTCAATTTTGAACATTGAAATTTAAAATATATACATACACATTGTAAACCAAAAACCTTCATACGTGTTGACCGTAAATTTCATATATCAAGTCAATTATCCACAAAAAAGAAAAAAAGCACACAATATAAAATACATGTAAATAAAACATGAAAATAAGTCAATACAAAACGACACCATACTACTTTTTGATAACAGCATTTTTTTACCGAAAAAGCGATTTAACTCTTTCTAATAAAAATACATCGGTATGTAATTTTTTTCTGCGAAATGTACATCCATTTAAATACCAAGGTCTCATCCATTTGTAGCATTTTATGTCAACGGTTGCAACGGTTGCATGGACCAATTTGACTCTCACAGACGCTATTTAAAATGAAAATTAGTGTTGCAATTTAAATGAATTAACTGGTTCTCAAAATCATTTCATTTAATTAAACACTTCATTTTAGTATTAATGGAAATTTGTGCAAATTTGCGTTCCTACTGACGCATGCATGCCGGTGACGCGCGCGCTCCTGGAATTATATGCGAATCATTTTACGTTAAATATCTTTTAGCAAAGGTAACGTGGATAAATAACTATCATGATATTTTCATTATTATAATCATTCATATTAACAATTATATGTTGTTTAAAACTCAACAAAAAATGAAATCACATCATTTTCTTCGAGCAGATAGTTGATATGTTACATACATTGAACCTTTGGAACCAGTTTCGAACGGGAAATCAGTTGGATTTTTTTCTGCACATGACAAATGTATTGAAATCACGCGCAGAAAACAGACAAAGCAGTTCCGATAAAATATGGGAAAGTTATCTCAAACTTTTTTCCTGGGAAGAATTGTGGCGTTAGAAGTCTCTTAACCCATTACTTCATGAGCATTTTGTGAAAAATGGCTGTTTTCATTGAAAAGTCTCCCGTTACAAGTTCAAATTGCTATAATACTATAAAAACTGCTTCAACACTAATCAAACTTGGCACAAATGTTGACTGGACCATTGCCCTTGCAACAACATGCTCAGGCTTAAATTTTCTGTTACCATGGCAACGAAGGGACATCTCAAAATTGCCAAAAATCACTATTTTGCGTTGATTTTTTCCATCAAAATTGATTTCAAAGTGCTGCAACTTCTCAATGGATTGAGATACAGTCAAATGCTTTTCAGCGTTGGTTACACGTTACCTTATGATCAATCTGGGGTCATTTACAGCCTCTCACAAGTCCAAAATTTTCTTGGCGATGAGGGGGACTCCGCCCCCCTTCAAACCCCCCAAACAGAAGGGGGCACATCCCCCTTCTGGCAACCCCCTGATGTATCTTTTGGTTGAGGGGCCGCGCCGAAAAAGAGGTCACTTTTTTTAACAACATTTCTCAAACAAAAACAAGTGTTTGGGGCCTAAATAAGGCATGTTTTCATCATTTGAGACAACAAAAAAAGGGGGGGGGGGTGAAAAAGGCGTTAAAAGGCGTGTATATGAAGTAATGGGTTAAAATTTAAGCCTTCAAACGTACATTAAGTATAATTTATTTTAAGTTTTTTTCTCCACAACAATTAATCATTATCAAGTGTCAATCAAGTATACAATAAATGAAAGTGAATTATTCCCTGCGGTCTGGAGACCGCGCGTTTAACTTTTGAGGCATGGAGGAGCACGTGACCTGTTTTCGGTACATGGAGGAGCATGTGATCTGTAAACCGTACATGATCGGTTAACCTTTTCGTAAAACCTAGCTAAATACCGTGTGCCGGTACGTTACGGATTTACCTCTAGGGAATTAGTCCGAATTACACAAAATTAAAGATCCTGTATGTTTTGTGATTGATATTGTTACTGCGTGTATCATGTATGTATGTATGTATAGTCTGATTTTATTGACCTGTCAATTTTGAATACATTATAGCACTCATTTAAATATTCGATTTCACTTCGGTTCTGTCCGTGTAGTTTACGAGAATTAATATGGAGTAAATAACTAATGTTTTGAAAAGTCACACCAGCTTAATGCATAGGCCATGTCAAATCCGCGATAGCACAGACAGTAGAGTGATTGTCTAATATATTAGGGGTCTGTAGTTCGATCCCTACTTTTGCCGTTGTTTTAAGGCCTACTCTTTTTCTTTATTTTTGCAGTATATTTTCATGAAAATGGCCGAGTGCTTCCAATATTGTCTACACATATATGAATCAACTAAAAAAAACATGGTCTCGATTTGACTTGTGTTTAACGCCATTGAAACTACATTTTCTAATTTTAAACCGAATTCCTTATAAATTTTAATTCTGAAAGCATGTTATTTAAAAGGAGTTTAATTGCTAAACATATTAAATCAAAACGAACAACATAACAAGCAATTATAGTCCTGATAATGTTGAAAATAGTTAAAAGAAGAGAAGGAGAAGAGAAAAAAAAAAAAAAATTGGAGGTACGCGGTCTCGTTCTCACAACACGTAGGACACTTAGAAATCATTAACCTGTAGCTTACCCTATTCCGCTATACCGTTCAGTATAATTGTTTCATAGGCACAAATTATATTTAATTAAATCTCACTGAGTACATCTCACGGAAATTACCGAAAATCTTTCGAAGATTAATATTTTGTGTGCATTGACCGTGTAATAAGTATGGAATTGACAGGTTAATAAAACCAAACAATAGTTAAAGCTTAATGAGGGTCCATCCGCCCTTTCGGGCACAAAATGCAGCTTGCGCTGTCGAGTACGGACCCCGGACATGTCACAGTCATGTCCTTAAAGAGTTAATTTTGAAGCACAAAATGGTGATAATTTACCTCCATGCAATTTCCACGGAGTATTAGCCAAAGATATGAATTTTGAGCCGAAAAGTAGGTCACTGTACGGCGGTCAATGAGAACCTAAATGTACAGTAACCTGTGACAATAGGAAAGGTGTGAAAGATGCTGTGTGTATCATACACTTGCAAAATATTATATATGTAAATAATTATGCAAATAAAACAATTTTCAAACATCCAAGAATATGTAAAATGTGTACTGCAAATATTTGTGCACATTATATTTAATCAATAAGTTACATGCATTCATTTCTTATTGGAAAATTTGACTTGGAATTTATAGAAAATAAATTTCTAATTACCTCCCTTTATTTACGCAAAATGTTAAATTGGGTAATATCTTTATAGATAATGCTTATTTGAACTTACAAGATTGACAAATCTTAATTTGAGCGTCATATTTTTTAAATAAAACCATGAAAAAAATGTGTTACAGGATCTTTAAGAGTAAAAACTATTAAGTGACATTTCTAATTTTCTATAATTATTTTACCGTTTAAGGTGGAAAAACTTGAATGATGTGTTTGAAATCAATGTTTATCAATGTTTATCAATGTTTCTTTAATATCTATCTCAAATTTTACAAACAATAAATTGAAAATCTACAAAATTAAAATATTCGTAGTGGCATCTGCCATAATAAATAGAGATATTTTGTAAACTTGTGTGTTTACTTAATTTTTTTTGCTCGGAATTATTCATAAAATGGTAGGCCTATTTAATCATTTTCTTAAAAAGAAATAATTGTTTTATGTTCGACCTTCTCCAGTCTTTGGTCGCCAGTTTCCAAAGACCTTCTTTGATCCTTTGATCGATTATTGTCAACTATATTCCTGATACAAACGTTTATTTATCCCCCCAAACAATGTTGAAAATAGTTAAATGAAATATCTTTATATCATTAAAAATGTTCCCCGCAGGAAACCATTTCACTCGTTTTACATTTAAAAATATCACTAGCAACGGATGTTATATTTTGCGCATGCGTTTTGGGCGTAGAACTCGTTGCTTGCATTGTCGACACTTTTTGTAAGTTCAATGAGACAAATTCAAAGAAATAAACTTGAGAATTCCTTAATAAAGTTTACTGCACACTTCCATCAGAGATGTTTTCCGTTGTTCTCGTATTTGTCTTTGGCTTCTTTACAATTCATTTTCACTGAATTTAAATAAGTTTACTGCAAACTTTCATCAGAGATTTGAATTGTCAATCATAAATTGGCATTTGTTTTCCATTTTTTTCACAGAAATTATCTGAAAATTCTAACTGTATGCATTTGTCTTTGGCTTCTTAACAATTCATTTTCACTGAATATAAATAAAGTTGGCTTAATCACTCAGTTGTTTGTCAATGACATTTTGTTTCCCCCTCGCGTTATCTTTTGAAAGGTCAAAGAAGACTAATATATCAACATGTAACTACCGTCTTTGATTACTTCATGTCTTCTTATTATTCACCTTTTCATATTTTGTTAAACGTGTTTAAGTATACATATTAATATATTTACAGGTATATAACATAAATCCCACAACTAAAAAATATTTCAAAACATAAGTGTTTGTTGATATAGAATATGACACAAATGAAGTTCAAGATATGATAGTAGATATCACAATGTATCAAATATAATGCCATTAAATATTTATTAATGTCCAGTGGCCTTTTTTGCCGCGACAATAAGTGGCCGAAGTGTTGATAAGTCCATCGCCTTACTTAGGAACGGATGTTCCAGCAATTTTGCTGCTGTTGCTCTTTTGTCAACATCTACTTCCAAAGACTGGTTCAGGAAGTCCTGAAGTTCCGGAGACAATTTATTGAAATTTTTGATATCCGGTTTGCCTTGAGTTGCAATTTTGTATATGGCTTTGAGTGGGGTCTCGTTCAGGTATGGGGGTTCACCTTCCAGCATCTCGATCACCATGATTCCTAAACTCCAAATATCAACCTTCTTTCCATAGTGTTTCCTAGCAACCAAGAACATAGTAATATGGTATAACAAACAGTATATAAATTGCTTCTTGATGAATTTTTGTCAAACAAGAACTGTAAATTAAAATTAACATTCGTTAAACCAAAGTGGGCGTTTTTACTGTATCTTAGGTTATAAATTCGCAATGTTTACGTTCTTGATATTCCAATTAATATACCATTACAATGTCATTTAAGTAGGGATATAATAATATAAGGAAAGGATATAATAATATAAGGAAAATATAAACATGTATTTTTGATTGAAATTTTAAATTTTCCATTAAGCATAATGAATTACCTAGAAACAACTTCGGGAGCCATCCAATAGGGTGTTCCCACCATTGCTTGTCGTTTTGATTTCTCGCTACTGAGTTGGGCACAGAATCGAAAATCAGTCAACTTTACTCTTCCGTTCATGCCAAGTAGTACATTAGCACTTTTTATATCTCTGTGTATAATGCTATGCGTATGTAAAAAGTCTAATGCTTTAAGACATTCCCTCGACACGGCCGCAATCTGACCTTCCTTCATTTTCGTCTCCGTTACAACATCAGTTAACGGACCGCCATCCAAAAATTCCATGATTACCCATAATTCCTGATTCTCTCCAACCATATAACAGTCTAGAAAATTAACAATGTTTTCGTGTCGGTATAGTTTCATTACTTCGATTTCTGTAATAAGCAGTTCCTTCTTTGGCTGATTTGATAGGTCCATGACTTTAATAGCGACAACGTCTTCCATTGACGCTTTAGGTCGTGCCATTCGTACCGTTCCAGATGCCCTGAAATAATATGCTTCATATGAAATATAACATTGATTTACACTTATGCATTAAAATTATGATGGGAAAAACGATTCGGTAAGTTAAAGGCACAATATACCTCAGAAACGTATACATTTTCACTTCTTTAAAAAGGGCAAACATGAATGTTATATCGTTTTGATTATGGAATTAGAGCATGTTAGATGCTTGTTACCTGAAGAAAGTAGCGCTGAATGTGAAATTTCTTGCCATAAAAGTAGCAAAACATAGCAAAATATTACAAAATACTAAACAATATATTATTATAAATATACTTATTGCCAAGAAACAATCAAAGATAAAGATGGTTCAGGTAACTGGCCAATAAGTAACTTTGTGAAAACCAAAAAAAAATAGAAGTATTAATAGGGCAAGGGTCTTCAAATAGAATTCTATTTGAAAGGCCCTGATGGGGCGCCATGGGACTTTAAATATGATTGTTTTATTCAGCATAGGAGAAATTCGACAAGATATTCACATTAGTTGCCATAATGAAGTCAAAGTGTGTAGAATATTTTGTTTCACTTTACCTAAGTATTATTGGCAATTATTAAATCAATATAAGAAAACAATGGGACAGTAAAAAAGAAGAGTAAGTTGTAGTATTCAGCATTTAACATATACATCTACTTCATTATATTTATACATAAAAATTACGTTAATTAACGCATTGTCGCGAGGAAACCTAATGTTATATGTACCAGTATTAGGGGGCATTTGTACAAAGGTTGGACACATGTTTTGGGATCGAGAGGACCGTGATTTGAGGTCTTTTAGGGACACTGCTAATTTTCTTGAGCAAGAAAGTTAGGCCTACGCTGATTAGTTTTATTTCACCCAGATGTAATTTGAAACCTGAGAGGGCAGTACGCCATAAAGTGAACTGAAATACTCCCAGTGAGATCGATAGATGGACCAGGAGTCAATGCTGTAAGGCTGATGAACGTGCCTATAATGCATGAAACTTAGACTATACAACACAATTGCTAGTTTTTACATTTTTTTTATTTTTAGTAAAGATAAACATTGTTATATAAAATATGACATACCCGGAACCGACTTTCTTTTGTAGCTCGTATTTCTCGAGGGCATCACCGGGACTTGATAAATTTTCTGAAAATACAGAAATAAAAAATATACTGATTTTGTGCGTTTTGATTGTTCTAACTGAATGCACATGTACATACGAGGGGTGTCCCAGAATTACGTGGACTTTTGCTATAACTTTTTTATTTTTTAATGCATTTTTTAGCAAATTTGTACACAAAACCTTTAACATATCCTTAATGAATATGTCCATTATTTTAAAATTTCTAACATTGCATCTCTATATTTTACGTCGCTATAGTAACGCAGTATGCGCAGGGCGGGGCAGTCCAATATTTTGTATTAATAAGTTGTCTTTACTTTCGTATATCTTGTGTATTTATACGTAAAAAATGGCGCGACGTCGTAAGCATATGCAGTGACGTCATATGAACGTTCGTTTGAAATTTTGACATCATAGCTGTTTCCGTTATTGTTTACCAGCGGACAACTGACAACCGTTGCTCTTGGATATTTAACAAAAAAATGACGTCCACGGATTACGCGGAACATCGGACTATCATCAAGTTTTGTGTTAATCTTGGGAAGACGCCAACACAGACGCAGGAAATGTTGGAGACTGCAAAAGTGAGACCTCCTGTTTGTCGATCACTCGTTTTCAAGTGGCATAAGCGTTTTCGAGACGGCCGGGAGGACATTGAAGACGACAAGGGTCGTGGGAGAAAGTCAACGTTGACTGCGGCGTCAATTAAGGAAGTCAAGGACGTCATAGATCGGGACAGGCGTTACACCAAGGTCAATGCTGAGTACTATTCATGGGTAAGCAATAATTTTGTGTTTAAAAAAATGATTTTTTTTTTAAATTAAGCTAATCACAATTTGTTATTTTAAACGCAATTTATCCGCTTCAGCTTTTAAGAAAGTGAACTCAAACTGCTTTGCGTACAAAATAAACTCCACAATAATAATAATAATAATAATAATAAAATAATAATAATAATAATAATAATATAAAAATAATAATAATAAAAAGATTAATAATAATAATAAAAATAATAATAAGGGACGGAAGTTCGATTCCTTCCAGGAACTTCGTTCGCAACGCAGAAAGTGGTGGCTGATTTCGACCAGGAGTGGTACAGGGCGGTGTACGACCAGTGGATATATCGACACCATAGGTGTATTGAGTTAGGCGGCGACTATGTTGAGAAAAACTGACATTCGACGCCACGCATTTATTAACAACTAGCGACGCCACCGGAATGACGTCGTAACGGCGGAATGGACTGCCCCGCACCCGCTACCCCTTGTCTCATTACCCTGCCCACAGACACTGATCTAGTTGCCGGACAACTTTGAAATTTTTTGTACTAATGCAATAAAGTTGCATTTTGTTCATGTTATTTTTTTTTGTTTTTTTTTATTTTCAGTAGTTTTTGAGTTACAGCAAAAGTCCACGTAATTCTGGGACACCCCTCGTATATATAGCGCAGATATAAATAATATGCCTGTTGTTATAAACCTATTCCAGTCTGCAGCTCCGTGCACCCCGACCTACCAAACGTTAAACAGTGGCTACTTGAAATATTATAAACATTTTTTTTTACTTTTGGTTGGGTTTTTCAGTGCAGCAACCTTTCTAGCTTTACTGGTAAAGACCTCAGATGCCCCACATTATTTAGAGCCACCGACGTTCCATTTGCTTGCTGGATAACTTCGTCGCATGAAAAATTCCAAAATTACACCACAGCGGTAAGGGGCAATTGGTCTAAAATCCACGTGGACGCCTCAACTTAAAAGTAATAATCTGAAGTTGTAACTTTTATTCAGGGTAAATCTAGCTGGGTTAAGAGGAAAATAAAGTGACATATAACACCTATCTAACTGAAAACTTGAGGATGCAATATGAAGACAGGCTAGAAAAAGGTTATTTACATTGTATAACCATTATTACCTTTTGAGAAGCCATAATATTAATGAAAGAAATTTAAGATGACATACGAGTAGACAAGCTCGTAGAATTCGAGTAAGGTACTCTCAAATCCTGATTTCAGATTCAGATTTTATTCAAAACCAAGGCATATAATATGAATAAGGTTATAAAAGGCTAACAGTAATCAATCTGGAAGTTTATGTACAGAAAAGTCACTGTTTTCATTGAAATAGCTAAACTAAGTGTTTATGTCCTTTTAATAAGAACTAAATAACATGGGAGATAACTTTAGTTACACGTTAAAATTGTGCGGATGATATTAACTTTTCCTTGGACTCCATTTTTCCATGCAACCGTTCCGGGGTCTACGTTTTCTTAGGATGTTCCTACTTCGTATATAAAGCTGATATTAAATGGTTTAATGTAATATTTCGTTGTGTTATGGATTTACCTAGCTTTGAATTTGGAAGAATAAATTCAAAGTTAAAGAGATTTTTTTTATTTCAAAATACATGTACCAAACTACCAACACTTTAGAGCCTAACCAGACAGCACTGACCATATTCTGGTGGTAAGGGCTAATAACTTTAAAAGTTCCTGCAGGTGTAGTGTTAAAATAAAGTTGTGGCTAAGATGAAATAGTCTATTTTTTTAACTTAAGTGAAGCATTTTCGGACTTCTTCCTTTTATACTAAGTGAAGCATTTTCGGACTTTTTTCTTTTACTTCAGTGAAGCATTTTCGGACTTTTTTCTTTCTTTAAGTGAAACATTTTTTGACTTTTTTCTTAGCATTTTTGAACTTTTTTCTTTTACTTAAGTGAAGCATTTTTGGACTTTTTTCTTTCTTTAAGTGAAACAGTTTTTGACTTTTTTCTTTCTTTAGGTGAAGCATTTTCGAACTGTTTTCTTTACTGAAGTGAAGCATTTTCGAACTTTATTCTTTCTTTAAGTGAAACATTTTTGGACTTTTTTCTTTCTTTAGGTGAAGCATGTTCGGACTTTTTTCTTTCTTTAGGTGAAGCATTTTCGGACTTTTTTCTTTTACTTAAGTGAAGCATTTTCGGACTTTTTTTTTCTTTAAGTGAAGTATTTTGGGATTTTTTTTCTTTCTTTTTTTTAATTGAGAATGTTCGGACTTATTGTAACTTGAACAAAATGTATTCACTTAACAAGAAATTCAATATTATGAATATTTGGCCACAGAACCTGTACTGTGCTGCCGCATCTAGAATTGAAAATCAACTGTAAAAGTTAACGTGCATGACATGAAAGGAGTATATAGATTATTAATGGAAGAAAAAGAAGAAGAAAACTTCACAATGTTTGCTGTTGTAAAGTTTTTTTTGGACGATAAATTGACACTTAATACAGTGTATATCCGGATTCACACTGATTTATATGGATATTTACTCTATTTTGATGTATATGGATACATAATTCTGTAAAATACATTGTCAAATAAACAGTTTTACAGATAAAGCGATATGGTTTAAAAATGCTTTAAGCTTGACTTTGGCATTTATAAATCACGAAATATACATGTTACGTGTCAAAAAATGCTAAAACAGTCCTCACTCTGTTGGTAACGGCAAAGTAAAAAATTTGGTAAAATTGAAATAATTATATGTAACATAAGACATGCAAGGCACCACATTGTTTGAGAATATGATGCATTTTCAAACACTTAAGATGAATATGGGTTCATTTACTAGTATTTTTAGCTGTCTTCTCTCATTAAAATGCACTTTAGTAACGTCGCTTTTCATTGGATAGTCGTGATGTTTATATTATTAGTTATAAAAATTGTTGACATCTTATATGGCCCTATATAAACGGCTTTTTGTAAATATAACCCGAGCCGCTAGGCTATGCCGACCCAATGTTAATAACCGTCCGCCAAATCTTACTGCCGCGGTAATCAGGTCAAAAAATAGTACCTTGATTTTTTCTAAGCTGACTCATCACTCATCACAGACATTTACAATATGAAAATATTTTCATTCTTTAATTTCATATCTGCAATTTGTAAAGATAATAATTCTCTGAAAAATTCTTGATTTTTGTTTAAATCATACTCCGTGAGTCATACTGCCGCTGGGTAATCAGGTTTAGGCATACGTACGTCTGTAATAAATAGTTCTGGTATGAAAACCCTTTTCAAAATAATAACTTTATCAATATTTTTGTAACAAAAGCATAAATGAAAATTTATAAGTAAATGCTTTAATTTAGTGGCAAATATTCTTTATTATTTTTGATAACAATTTTCCAAATTACTACGCAGCGACCAACTGTTTATGACGGGTCATTTAACTAGAACGTTGCAACACCGTATTCTTTCATTTGTGTACACCGGTCTTACTGACGATATTTGAGACCGGCTGTATATACAATGCCGTATTCTCAATATCATGCATGTTCTTTTGTTGTTATAAACCATTAAAAGTCCTAAATATTTTTTTTAAGACAAATAATTGTAAACTGTCGCTTACATCAGAGACATGGATCATGCTTGCGTGTTAACTAAGGAAAACTAACTTATTAGTACACCCCAGGAGGCTGTACGCTGGAAAACGGTCATAAACCGCTATATCATATAGCTGTTAGTAAATATTTTGCATACATTTAACTAAAATTCACTGATGGTGATGAACATATAGTTTTGAAAACATTATATTCTTGAACCATTATCGCCGAAAAAAAACTATTTAACTAACAAAACCCTATAAGGACCTTCCGACAAAATTCCAGCACAATATTACATTTTACATTAGCAAAATAAAAAAGCAATACTTATATTTGCATCTTACATAATTCATTAATCAAACTTTTAACATAAAAGTATATTTGGCAATTGACAGATCCCTACTCTGATCTTTTATTTGTTATAGGAATAAATTTAAACATGTGCTCTTTTGATTTAGGAATATTTTGTAGTGAAAGTCTTATATATTTACTGATCTCATAATTAGAATTAGACAGGTCAGGGATTTATACAACCAGTTGTTTACTTAACTATGCTCATTTTTAATCCTAATAGAAACATTCAAATATCTGGGGTAAAAAACATGACCAAGTACCTAGTAGTCGTTTACCCGGTGGTGATGCCATTAAACTGATTATAGATTCGAATTGATTAGAAAACACAAATAGAAACATGTGTTTCCGTACAACAAAAATCGGAAGTAAGTGAACAGTTAATTGACAGAAA